CTGTAACAATAGCTAGAAAGTTCATCACATTTGCAAATGCACGCTCGTTGCTAACACATAATAGTCGAGTAAGGATATCGTCACCTCCGCCTTATTTCCTCAACCGGAATATTCTACGGGATTTAATCCAGGATTCATTATAAGTGTTACACTCATTTATGGAGCTGCGACTGAGAAAATAAAAAATTAACTGATCTATAAAGAGTATCGTAACAAAAGAGATCGATTTCTAACGTTTAAAAATAGTGGAAAATGAATATTTTAGTATCTCTCTTCTAAATCTAGTATGAAATTTGCGCCTTTAGTAATAAGGAATAGTTTTGCACGCTCAGAAAAACAATGTAGAGAAATTTTAATCGGATACTGCTGCGCTGAACTGATGGCTTGCTCTATTGTACTTTTTAATTTGTGTAGAATTTTGAGGGATGTGGGAGGATCATATCCGGAGAATGGGAACAACGCAATGAATAAAATCATATATTCATCTGTATGCACTGCACGCTCCGATCGAACAAAAGACCATGTTGGAAATTAAAAATTATTTCATACTGAAAAATCAATTATTAGAATCCGAATTCGTTTTATTTCGAACATTAGGCAATTAAACGTGAATGAATTGAACTTTTATAAATTAATCGGCTCGATACTTGCTGGAAATTGACTAACTAAATATGGTTCAAAAATTAACGTTTACAGGTTTGACCGGACATGGGCCCTACAAAAACACCAGTTTCAGTTACAGGGTGAGTTTTTTCCAATGGTTAGTATAAGGAGCTCGGGAACCAGAGAATAGATAGGTGGTTAAATGGGGAAGCATTGCAGTTGTACGCGCTCATGTAAATTGCTTTCATTATTTTTGAAAACAAATGTAATTTTTTCGCATCCACTGGCTAAAGTGGCATAAAAAACTCTACCAAAAGTTCAGTCCAGTCCAGTTTTTTTGTGTTTCTTACTTTTTGAGAAGTTTTAAGTTGAAATGTTAAACTAAAGTACTTCTATTTATTTTATTATTTGTTTTAATTTGCACTTTTCTCGAAAAGTAAGCACCATAGGGAAAAATCATACAAAAAAACAGTCTTGATGAGCTGTGCAATAAAGGATCATACACTTTTTGCGTCAGGTTCTAAATAAAAGTACCAGAGGTAGTCGGAAAGTCGGTAGTTTAATTAAAATTTGACATATTTGGCCGCCCCTACCAGCCTTAAGCCTGGCAGACATGACGGTTTTTACTTGACTATATATCAAGATACAAAAAAATCAGCCATGTAACGATAACTAACATTTTTAGTTTTGTAGCCATCTCTTAGCTTAGACCTTAGACTATCACGACACAATTGGGTCACAACAATAAAATCCTAACATTGACTTAAATGTTTTATAAACTTGCAATAGCCTCAATCAAATTCTGTAAAATTCCAAGTCAACTTTTTAGCTTCCTAGCATGTGCTAGGTAGCTATTGCGATAGCCGTTTTTTGAACATTTCAAAATTTCATCAAATGTCGACGTTTTAGACCATTTTAAGCAACTTTTAAAGAATAAAATTTTTTTCCGTCTGTATGTACGTACGTACGTACGTACGTTTGTTGGCAATTTTCTGAGAAAACGGCTCGACGGATTTTGTTGAAATTTTGTATATATGTTTTAGGCATACCGAACAGAAAAATAACGGGCCGGATTTTTGAAAAAAAATTTTGGAGCGCCGTAACGGCATCGAACTTTTTTTTTCAAATAGCAACCTAAAATTTTTATTCTATTATTTGGAAGACCTTATTTTCCTGTGTACAACCTACAAAAAATTGGGCCGGGTTATATTATCAAAAAACGGAGAAAAAAATTGTCAAAGTCAAAAAACTGTGTTGCATATGTGCAAAACGCAACGATCTTGTTTCTGAAGCAATTTAAACGAAATTTCTATGGTAAGTCCCTTTAATAAAAGCAAGCAAAATTCATGCGCAAAAATCGTGTTGCGCATGCGCAGAAATGCAATTTTCTTATTGATGGAACAATTAAAACAAAATTTGGATGGTAGGTCCTCCTAATAAAAGAAAACAAAATGCATGCGCAAAAAATCGAGTTGCGCATGTGCAACATCCAACTTTCTTATTTATGGAGCAATTTTAACGAAAATTGGATGGTAGGTCCCTCTAATAAAAGCAAACAAAATGCATGCGCAAAAATCGTGTTGCGCATGCGCAGAAATGCAACTTTCTTATTTATGGAACAATTTTAACGAAATTTAGATGGTAGGTCCTTTTAATAAAAGCTAACAAAATGCATGCGCAAAAAATAGTGTTGCGCATGTGCAACATCCAACTTTCTTATTTATGGAGCAATTTTAACGAAATTTGGATGGTAGGTCCCTCTAATAAAAGCAAACAAAATGCTGACGGTTTTCTCTTCATAGCATGAGCTAGGTACAATGCGAAATTTCATCAAATGTTGACGTTTTAGATCATTTTAAGCAACTTTTAAAGAATAAATTTTTCCCGTCTGTAAGTGCGTACATATGTTGGCAATTTTTGGTTTCAGCTAAGAAGCTATTCTGTCAAGAATTTGACACCTGGTTTTTAATAAAATCAGAAGTATTAGAAACATCTGACAGAAAAATAAAACTCTTATCTGGATTGGGATTCAAATTGAAAAAGACAATCCTGTAAGATAAAATTGCCTATTCAATAGAACACACCCCGTTTGCAAACGGCCGATCTAGACACAAATTGAGAGATTTTAAAAGTTACTCACAGTTCCGTTAATAGCAATCCAATAAACTGATGAGGACGAAATATACGACGTTAGGTGAAACACACACTTTAACACGAATCTGAAAGATTCACCTCAGAAACCTTATTAAACTTGTTTCCGAATTATTTAACTAACATGAGGACGATTCCGTTTTTTATCTTTAAAACTGCATATTTAAATTTCCTACTTAAGCAAAAACCACCTCCTAATTAAATCAACATCGTTATTCTCGACTACACTCGAAATTCGATTACGCCTTCATAAAACACCAGCAGCGCTTATCTCGCACGTGACGTTGTTTGTCGAAAAACCAATTGACTTTTTCAACTAATGTATATATGGGCTTGTTCCTTACGTACTAAAATACCTTGGTTGGTACATTGTGAATTTTACTTAATTTATTTCTATCTTCACTTTTTATTAATATTATCTAGGTGGTTCTTATTGTAGTTCACTTATGGTCATCCTTATGTTTTATTCGTACACTACCGCTCAAAAGTATTCAGCCACTAACATTTTTTTAACTTTGTATTGTTATACTAAATTAATGGTCGTTGGGTATCCATTTTCTCTTTATATAACTCGAAATGGGGTGCAATGATAATCCACGTTTAAGAACTCAAAACCTTCCCCATAAAATTCAATTTATTCAAAACATTTGATGTTGAAAAATAAGGCTAAGGCGACATGTTTCGGCTAACAAACCATCATCAGGCCCTAAAAGTTCGGCTTTAACACGACGCCTTAGTCTTATTTTTCAACATCAAATGTTTTGAATAAATTGAATTTTATGGGGAAGGTTTTGAGTTCTTAAACGTGGATTAAATTAATGGTGTTTTATATTCGCTCCAAAAGACTTTTTTCACGTCTTCAACAGTCCAATTGTGGAGACGAGCTCAAATTAATCGTTTCTTTTTATAATTCCTTTCCCCATTTTAGCAATGTAATTGACTGAAACTTACCAGAAATGTTTTTTTTTTGCATTTGAACTTCTCTACAGGTAGAATAAAGGCAGATGAATCAAGTAAGATTGGCAAATAAACATTGCAGTCGGTTGTTCTATTCCAGACAACTTCAAAATTTAAATTATTATTCATAAACTGGTCAGCTGGGTATCAAGAGTAAAACTGAAGAAAGCAGTTTACATTAAATGGTCATGATTTTCTTCATAAAAAGGGTTACAAACAACAATAGAACGGCAAAGCGATAATTAGGTCTATAATATACAGTGAATAAACTTTTCAATTTTATCCAATTTCCTTTTTATCGGCCAATAACTGGATGGCTGAATACTTTTGAGTGGTAGTGTATAAGTGCATAAAAAAAATTTTCTGTAGTTTCACAACGAGCTTCAGTTCTAATAGACCGTAGCGTACATTTTAACTAAACCATAAGCGAGACATATTCGACAGTACAGACTGTGAGCACGTTGAAAACTAGTAACAAAAACGCCCCTCTGCTGACAGTCGTAAGAGGCAGCCATTAACTTGGAGGCGGCGCTGAAGGAGTGACTATTTTGGGTATCAACTAAATCATAAGGGTTTATATCAAGAAATGCCATTTTTCCATGCATTTTTCCCATAGTTTTCAAAATGTTAGGGCAGACGATTTCAAGTGTAGCATTGGAGGCGACAGGCACCCTTCAATGCAGGTAAAAACACCCCTGAACTAAACCATGAGGATCGTGTAAAGGTCATACATAAAAAAATTCCTTTTTGCCACTATTTCAAATATATACCTAATAGCAGACGATATTAAGTGTAGTTTTAATAGCGGCGGACGTCTTGAGGGACTATGGTTAAACCCTGAAAGTGCCCTATTTTCTTTTTGAACTTAATTTTTTAGAAAATTCACACTTACATATACACTGCCCATAGAAGATACGAGATGGTCAAATAATGGAAAAGATGCGCATTTAACGTGATATTATCATGTTTTAAAGAAAACCAGAAAATTTGATATGCCAGAAAAACCGAAAATTTCCGAGTTTGTTTTTATTTTTTTCTGATTTGAACAGATACAAAAAATAAAAAAACACTTTTTCGATGCTTCTTTTGAGCTTTACAAGACACTCTTGAGAGATTTTCAATACACAACGTTTCGTTTCGGAGAAATCATCGTTTATTTTCTTATATGGACCGTAAGAATGTACGACACTCAAAAACACAAAAGTCGGAAACTGTTCGTTTCAACAAGATGGTGTACCTGTGCACTTTTTGATCGTATAAAGAGCTTTAACGCCGAATTAAGCTTTGGCTAGTTTTGTATATTTTAATTTCATATTAGTTATAGTAGGTGAAATAAAGCAAACTTTTTTTAATTGTTGTTAGCTAATCTATTTCAAAACTGCACCACGTTACCATCTGATCTATCCTTTAAAATGCTAAGCACTTAGGTGGTGGGGTGTCCCAGGGCCCCTAAAACTACTTAAAATACACATCGATGACATTTTTCTCAAACCACGACCATTCAAATTGCAAATGGTTTCCAGGCAACGACATAAAGTGCAATTTACCATCTCGCTCCATTTTCATTAAGCCTAGGCGATCCTGCGAAACGACCAATAAGCGCAAACGTCTTCGTCCGAATTACCTATACCTGCTTGTACAGTTCAGATTCCTGCAACGTTTGTATTTCCTTAGCTTGTCCCGGTTTGTAGAACCCGAACCATTCCGTTTCCATGGGTTGCACTATCGTGTCCCCTTCGAATTTGATCATAACAAAATTCTTTAGTGCCCTCAAGTTGTCGATGTAGGACTGGTTAATCGCCCTTTCGTTATTTATGTCTGCCAAAAAAGTGCTGCCTTGCTTGTATAGATCTTCATTTAGGGGATCGTGCCAGTAAGTGGCTTGAACCAATGAGTGTTGCAGCCACCTAAGAGAAACGAAAGTATTAGCTCAGTTTTAATGGTAGAACTATTTGCAAACCTGTAATAAGCGGCATGATTGAGTATTCGCCTGAGATAGTCACAAGTTTGGTGATCTACTGACAGGCAGTTTGGTAGACCGTACACACCTTGGTGTTGCCCTCCCACGGAAACCAGGGTTCTCATTTTAGGTACGGGACAACGTTGGGCCAGCGCCCTCCTTCATAAAGTTGAGATAGTATTTACTTAGCTATGTTTTAGCGACATACATAAATTGAGATCCTTGCGAAAATCCCACGGCGTTATATCCCTTGCGCAGCAAAGGATCGGCTTGAATCATTTCGCACGCCATTGTCACTTGCTTATTTGGATGCATGAAGTAACTGTTTTCGAAGTCGTCAATTACGCTGTTGCCAATTTTTAACGAAAGCATGTGGACGCCGGGTAAACTGTCGTTGAGGTGTTTTTGTATTGCTCCCAAACTGTATGGAAAACAGCAAGCGTCCCCTGAAATTTAAATCCGATAGATTAGTTATGTCTTGATGGTCGTCTTTGGCATTTATAAATGTATTTAAAATAGATTTTATAGAAATATAAAGAGCTTTCTAATGATATCCTCTTTGTTAGGGTACTGTGGTGAATCGTAGGGTAAATACACTGATTTATGTACCACTCCCCTTCTCCCAGACTCAGGCTTCTCAGATGACAGTGTTAGCAACCCAGATTTGACGTTGTGTCTTGTAGTATTAGCGATCCTCGTCCACTAGTTCTTTTACTTGAAATAGTACAGAGACAAGGTAAATTAAAAACACGATAAGAGGTAGGTTTATTCCTTCATTAACATTTTGGAAATGAACTCTTTTTCATTTACAATCCACACACGCATTTAACAATAAATGCGCTATGGAAGAGACTATCTCCCTCGGCAGTTAGGGAGCGTACGGTGTTCCAGGGTAGTGGCCATACCAACAAAAAATAGCTTTTCAATAAATTGAAAAATTAAAAGCTTCAGTCATTTGGAAAGCTTTATACTCAAAGATATTGCTCAAAATCGTGATTCAGGACATTAGTAAGAACCAATGAGCCCTTACCTTTCGGTTCAATACGGATAAGCGACAGTGCTCGGGACCGATTGGCACGAAAACGTGAACTGGTATCAAGGGTTGAAATGGTCTGCGGTTTATAGAACCACAATTTAAGGAGCTGTTCTATCCTCACAGTCAGCTGCAATAAAATGGCCTGCGGTTTCAGAACCTTAAAAAGGCTAGCTGGCCCTTTAACAACTACCCTAAACCACCCCATATTTCTCTGAAAACTCCAATGAAATAATAAAATTAAGATATAAGGAAAATACAAAAGAAGCAAGTAATTAATTCTTTCAGATAAATTTCATTGTAATTTACATTAGCTGCTCGCATATTTCGGCACACTTAATTCCAATGACAAACAATTGAGCGGAGGCATAATTTTGCAAGAGCTAAATTTTAATTAATAATACTAAATTGATTGTGATCGCATCAAATTCCACTTTAATTAAGTCGTGTCCCCAAACCACGCCCCCAGTGACTGTATTTGTGCATTTATGTTGATACAATTAGACCACACGCACGTATAAAACCTACGTGCAAATTATTATGTATTCCATCAAATTAGTGAATGTTAAATGAAAAGTAATTACCTTAAAAATCGTTTCCTTGACAACACTGTTTGACATATTTTGATAGCGTAGGCCGGACTCGTTTCCGTCCAGGAAATTTCGTTGCTTAGCAACAGGCTACAGTACTGGATTGGCATATTTTGAGGTCTAAATTTGCTTCGAGAGCGTAGGCATTCCCGAACCATTTAAGAAAAAAACCAATTTGAACCATTTTTGGTCTAAGTCGGGGCGATACAGCGAGTGGGACACGAATTCTTCTTCTTTTTTTCGCAGAAATTATAACATATTGACAGACAACGCTAGCGGCTCTACTGAGATGTTTCTTTCTTAATTTATAAAGATCACCACAGTGGGTGCAGCATAATTATTTTTCATGTTCTCTTTTAAGAGCAATTCATATATTTGGTGGTTTTCCAACATGAAAATAACGAATAAAAAATTACTTTTTGAAAATGTTTGATTCTTGATTTATTAACAAAGCAAGGATTTGTACGATTTCTCAGTTTCTTTAGATTCTTCAAACGTAAAATTCTTCATTTTTTTTAAATCTTGGTTGTTACATTAATGGTAACTTTTTGCATAAGTGAATGGTTTGTCATCAGTATACAGTGCTATTTTTTTACAAGTAGACATAGGGATTTACGTGTATTGTTTTTCCCTACATATGTCTACTTTTAAATGATGAAATCCCTTCAGAAGGCGCCTAAATTTATACATCCACAGTAACTTCTTAAAACAAATAAAGATCTGGTTGTCATATTAATCAATTTGAATATTGTTTGAACATACTTCACCGAAAATAAATCCCTTAAGCTGTTACCGACACTGTACCAAATGACAATATCAACTTTTTTTTCGCACACGTACAAAAATAAAAATACGGAAGCCAACGCATTAATATTCCAATTAATTGTCACAGCCAGATTTTTATTTGTTTTAGAAGTTATTTTGGTTGCATAAAATTAGGGGTCCTTCAGCAGGATTTTGTCATTTAAAAGTAGACATAGGGAAAATCAATATACGTAAATCTTAAGATCCTCTGCAGAGGCACCTCTAAAAAGCATTATGCGAGCCACTCTGTAGTTGGGCGCAAGCCTGTTGAGGGCCCTGAACAAGAGAGGGATAATCAATAAATAATAAATAAATCACGAAATATATTTTGTCATTCTGAACAAACCTGATTGTGATGTTTATTTACGATTGTTCTTCATTCAATCATTCAATAAACTTTAAAATAATAGTGTTTATTTCTGAAACTCGATATCCCGGAAACGATTGAATTTGGGCACATTAAGCTTCTTACAAATTTTGCGTAAAATTAAGAGAACAATTGAGATATCAAATAATATACAGAGTGTTCCATTAAAAAAATGCAATTTTGATGTTCGGCGTCTTTATGATCAACCCCGTATAATTAATACTGCCTAGTAGACATTGAAGAACTCGAAAGCTTTTGTATAAACCTTTTTTCGATATCTTGTATATTTTCCCCGGAAATCGACTTATTAGTGACCCTGTAAATAATATTAAAAATTTCGTATTTCAAACGATTATTATAATTCTTCAAAATAACAAATATTTGATTTTAATCACTGTTGCATATTTCGAATCAGGAGATTTTCCGGTGAACGTATGCTATAAGACCAAACGCATTGGCGCCAAACCGAAAGTTATTTGCCCCAAAACCGAAACCGCCAAAATGGCACCACAATTGACGTTTACCTTATTTTCATCGAAAACCCTGAGATTTGTTTGGGACACCAAGTATATTATGTAAGTATGTGTTATTCATTTCCGCTAATTCAATTTATTAGAAGACTATTGTCATTGACTAATGTATTAGTCAATGCTATTGTTTACCCAAAAAATAGCCAGGTCGTAGGTGGATTCTGTAACGCGATGAACTTTGACATTGCTCCCATACGAACTTGATTAGAAAATTGCGAAACTTTTTGATAATACCGCTCACAAACTCCTATCATTCTTTGTTTGCGCTTAAATTTCTAGAATCGAACGAAATTGACTTACCCATTCCATGCCAGAGGACAATTGGTGTAAAGTTCTTAGGGGTAACTAACAAAACAGAACAAGTGAGAAGTAGAAAAACGCTACTGGCTGCCTGCATCGTGTAAATAATAATAAATCGTCTTGATAATTATGCGGTTAACCATACAAATGTGACGATTGAACAGATCATGCGCATCCAGACGTTAACTGTCAATTTGAAAGTAGAGAATAGCTTTCCTTGCTATACTTTCTTTTCTGTAAATTGGTGGATTGTGACCAAAGACCAACAAAAGTAATAATGAAGTTTATTTTCAGTTAAACGTAGTGGTGAGACCTTACAAAATTTACTATGAAGATCAAGTCACCTAGAAAGGATTGGTTTTCAACTCTGCCATATTATCGGTACCTTTTATTAGAAATCCCAGAGTGTGCACTCATTGAGTATCGGAAGTTCATTAAATTTTGCATTTTCGCTTGAACTAATTGCAGATTGTGCGCTTCTGAATTGGGGTTGGGAAGTAGCGGGGCTAAATCAACCCTTATATTTTTAAAGATACAAATTTTTTTGCAAAAAATATTCTTAAGGCACTTCGATATTTTAAATTTAATATTTAAAGAGTGAAAAAATAAATGCGGGTCTTAAATTTTGTCAGGTGCTTTGCAAAATTATTTTGCAAAAAAATTTAAAACATTTATTTGAGGAACGCTGAGATTTTGGCAGGATTTATTTCTCTTTTTAAAATTGTTTATTTATTATCCCTCTCTTGTTCTGATCCCAATTACAGAGTGACCTCAATAATGCCTTCTGCGGAAGGTCTTAAGTTGTTTTATACTACTCCGCTATTTACCTTACGAATTAGGAAAACTACAGAAAAACCTAATTCGGAGTAGCCGGTAGAATACTAATAACTGATCTAAGGAAATTCCGATCTCTGTCTCAGATGAAAAATTCTTACCTCAGTCCAGGTTCGAACATCCGATCTCTGGTTATGGAGCCCAACCCTCTACTGCTGAGTCACATACTCGTAGTAGGATATTTGCTACGGAAATACTGTTTATAATGTCTAGTGAGAAGTTAGTGTACGTTATTCGTGCAAAAGACGATAGAAAAGTGATTGTTTTGATTGACAAAGATCCCTGATTTATATTGGACATCAAGGGCATATACAGGGTGATACTTAGAACCAATTCGATAAATTAAGGAAGATTTTTTCGGAAATATGTTCGGGCACATGGCTTAGTATATTAAACTACAGAGTGTCCTACATTTGAGATATGACGTCATCCATTTTTTCTAAATAACAACCCTAATTTTGTGTGTCTAATCTTAAAGAGTATATCAAGTTACACATGTGTGCCAAATTTCAAATTTTTATTTCTTGTCATGTAGAAGATATTTAACATTTTTTTAAGACTTAAGACTATGGTAAGTAAAATTTCACACATCTGAGCGGGGTTAGTATTAATCGTTCCATTGTTGTGTTGATCGTTTGTTCCCCGTTTGTTGAAAATTTAAACAAGAAATAAAAATTTGGGATTTACCACACATGCATAACTAGATACTTGATACTCTTTAAGAACAGTCAACAAAAATTAGGGTTGCTATGTAAAAAAATAGTCCATGACGTCATATCTCAAATTTGGAACACTCTGTACAAAATTTAATTACATTAAAAAGAGCGCAGTAAAAAATACCAATCGACGTGTCCGAAAAAAAATTTACTTCGAATTACTGAATTTATTCCAAGTTAGAGACTCACCCTGTATCAAAACTATACAATAAAAAATAATCACGATCAAAAATCTAATAACTACTCTAAAATTCCAACTCTCAACGGGGTGGGTTTTGTAAGTCACCTGATCTTGCTCGAACCAATAACACTACGGCGTCCTCGGACGCAGACAGCTGCCGATATACGCACTCTCTCACACTGCAACTTACCTATAGCACTTTTCACTTACACGCACACATAACTTTCTCGATCACCTGGCAGGTAGAAATATTTAATTCTAATTATAAATAATATCCTGTCAAAATTTTAGCGTGCTCCAAATAGATTTTTCAAATTTTTTGCAAAATAATTTTACAAGCACCTGGCAAAGTTTAAGACCGGACTAAATAATCTGGTTTATTTATTTTTCGCTATTTAAATATTAAATTTAAAGGTATAACAACTTTGAAATGCCTCAAGAAGTTTTTTTGCAAACCTTTAAAAATATAAGGGTTGATTTAGTCAATTTAGCTGGATTTGCAATTCTGTTTTTGGGTATTATTGAAAAAGTTTGGGCAGCGTGCCTCAAATACCTACCGAAGAATTTCTACCAGCTCTCCTACTATTAGCGCATATCGGGTTCGGATCTTCGTTAAATGACGTGTAACTAAAGCTTTACGATTTGGGTTTTTTTCCAACATTCTCCTTCTCACATAACAACAAATTGCATTTTCTGGCACTTCCCCCAAAATTGTTTTTTAGGAAAAAGAAGAAACGCTAACGCTATTGTTGATGAATTGCTCCATTTTGTAATTGGTGTGTTGTTAAGCAGTTAACGAAGTTGTATTACACTAATTTTTATTAAAATTTATTGATTGGTCGCTACCGATTTCGGACGAGCTTCGTCCATCATCAGGCGATACGTCAGTATAGTAAAAAACGAATCATGAAATAATTCCAACATCTTCATTACTTATCCATTGGCACCTATACAATTTTAGCGTAAGAAACCTTTCCAGCGGTAGAGTAGCTATTTGGAAAATTATTGTTGTACAACTGTTCGGACTTATTTTTATAAACCGAAACAAATCTGGCAATTCACTTTAGAGCTTATATACACCGAAAGCGCAAAAACTAAAATTGGCAAAGATTAATCGTAAAATGTGCACGATTTGCATATCACATGTTTAATAGATGCGCAAATTCGATCTAGGAGGGAAGTGACATATTAGCGTCGATAAAAAAGTCAGTTTCCCGAAATTATTTCATTCCGTAGACCAAAGCGGAGCGTCCACGATTTTAAGTGGTTTCGGATATTGTCCATTGAACATCCTTTGAAAGTGCATTTTAATTCGCTAATTAACGTAAATTAAATGGTCGAATTCATTTCTTTTTCAGCAGACGGAACTTTAATCAATTACTCGCCTTTAAAAAAATTCAATTAGCGTTGTCATCCATTAGTTATATTATATGCATCCCGTTCGAGTAATGCCCTGTTTGAGCGAGAGAACAAACGGATTTTTCATAATGCTGTTTGAGTTCCACTAATATAAGGGTGCGTTTTGCTTGCCTTAATCAGACTAGTTTATAAAGCTGAAAAAAGCTTTTGTTGTATTTTGACGACTCTAAACAATGGGAAATACAGAGTAATTTATAATTATACTTCGTATATCTGCATTTTATTTAGGTACCTTCGTTCCATATACCTATACGCGCCTCGCTTTGTTTGCCGTTGTTTTCAAAGAGGTTTTCGTAATAATTTTTCCAAGGGAAAAAGTTCTTGTGTTGGTATGTATTTGAAAACGAGTTTAAAGAAAACCGCTAAGAAATTTAACATAAAAGAGAGATTTTAAAAGTCCATTCAAATGTTTTAAAAGTATTTTCTCATTTTTTAAAGACTGGCGTTGCGAAAGTGCTTTAATTACTCTTGGATTAGTCCGAAGCAGCTCTCGTACAGCGGTTTATTCTGAACACTAAAACATTTAATGAAAATCTCATTTAGGATCCAATCTAACTTCGTTTAACGTCCAAAATGACTTTCCCCTCGCCTCTACATTACACGCTAATCCGTCATAATCGTCTATACTTAATATTCGAGTACACCAAACATGTGGCATGAGGTGTTAATGTGCGGAGTCCAAACAAAAATATCGTGGGGTAGTTGTGCAAAGCCCGTTGTAATAGAATTTGCCGTTAGGGGATAAAGTTACCCCGAATCAACTTTCCAGGACTGCAGGAGAGAAAGCCTCACCACACACCGATGTTTAATTAATCAACTCGGAGCTGCTGCTTGGTTTATTAACAGCATTGATCATTGGTGTATTCACACAACCAACCGCAGACAAGATCAAAACCTGTACTCTTTTGTTAGTTTATTAACGACCTATTTATAAATTTAATGAATGCATTAGAGCCCAGATTAAAACTTGCAACTTTTCTAAGATGATGCTTTTCTACAAAAGTTGTTTTTTTCGTGAGCACTATGTACCCCAAACGCAATTATATTCAAAGGACATCATTTAGAATAATTGAGTAATTAGCATTTCTCAAGAGGGTCGTCAATAATCTGGAGTAGTCGGCTATTAGGTGTGCTACACCTCTTTCATTCTTTTCCCTATCCTTCGATCGCCCATGATACCGCCTAGGTTTGCAGCTATACAAGGGAGAACGTCATTGTTATTTTATTCAAAATTGAAACAACCAGAGGAATTAAACGGATAACGAACCCAACCATCTCTACTACAGTTTTGTGGCATTACGTGCATGAACTCTGAAGGAATTCAAAATGCTCCGCGCAGCATTTGTTATTGGTCGGCCAATTTATTTCTGTATCCATGTAAACATGGTATAATAAAAACATGTAAACTTTCCTACGTAATACTCATATTTGATTATCCCAACATGACCCTGTATTATTTGTATTATTTATAAAAATGTTAGCTTGAAAAGGTCGATAAAACCATTGAGTATAAAATTCTCAAATGGTCCTCTTGCATTCAGTAATATATAAAAATCATAGGGAAAGGATGTAGTAACAAAAAAACAGCGTTTTAGTAATAGCGGATCTGAAATATCGACAAGGGTAGTTATTTTCAGAAAAAGTGACGGCATTACTTAGTTCTTCTACCGCCTGGGGCAGTAAGTAGAGGTGATCACTTATGTAGGAACCCTCTGCACATTTGTTCCTGGTAGTCCATACAAAATGTAAACCACGGACAAGTGAGATTCGCTAAAACGTCGAAATTTCCGTACTCGGCTGCTAATGGCGCCTCGTAGCAGAGCTTCCAACTTATTAGCGAAAACTATCTTACTCGTTATTGGTAAACAGTACAGGCTGATTCAAATTCGAGGGCCTTTAGGGAATTTTGGGAAATATAAATATCACTATTTTTTAATTAGAAATTGCGCTAATAATTCGTAAAAACGCAAGAAACTACGAACATACACTACGGAAGACAAAGTTTGCCAGACAAAAAAAGAAAATATTTTAACAATATTTAAAAAATAGTGATGTTTACATTTTTGAAATCAGAAAAAATGCTCTCTCAAATGACACAAAAAGTAAAAATGATTTCCATAAGAAAAAACGAAGTTGATGATGGTTAACCGGAGACGAAACGTCAGACTTAAAATTTAAAACTAACATCTTGTAGAGGGAAAAAAGTAGCCAAAATACCTTTTTAAAAAACTTCAGTAAAAAATAAAAACGATTTTGCACAAATTCGTTTTTTTAGGATACCTCCGAAAGTAGCCTGAATTTTTTCAGTTTCAAAACTGCATTTTGTTAAGCATCAAAATACGAAACTTCGCCAAATTTAAACTACGTACCTATCTCGTACAGTTTCCGACATCCCCATTGTGGCCCTCGAATTTGAATCGGTATGTATACTATTTTTAGTTTCTTCATAACCTTCGAACCATTCGAATACTTCAATTATTTGGAATTCATACATTTTCCTGTTAGTAGTCCTCAGGCTGTATAATATTTTTTTACAAAAAAAATTATTTACCGGTTCAAATCGGGTTTTTCATGCGGGTGAAATGATTAGAAATTGGGGAAAAATAATGAAAACTGCTGAATTTTTCCGCGGGTGAAATCACGGGGGTTGAAAAGGGTGGAAACTGGTATTTTGCAATTTGTGGCAAAACTATTAATTCTAGGCGAAAATGTTTGATATAAAAGTTATAAAGAATTAGAAAATGAACAACTTTTGTATCTTCACTATTTACACATATCTCCAATTTTCCTAGAAAAACCGGAAAAACCTTTTTTTTCGATTTTTATTTTTATTTTTGCGAAAAAAAGTCGTAGGGGTTTGAAATTTGGAGTAAACATACCTTGTTTTATCATAAAAAAGAAGATAAGATCCCACGATTTCTGAAAAAACCACCTCTTTGTGAAGGGGAAGAAAAATCTATATTTTTTCATCGTACAGAGGTGCACGGGGTAGCAAAATTTTTGGGAAGATTTGTATTTCAATAAACAAAAATAAAAAAATATGATTCCTATAGCAAAAATTTGAGAAAATTACCAAAAACTGGAAAACAGTTTTTAGATATACACGGTTTTTTACAAGATAAATCAACGTGTTGGATGTTAATAACGATTTTTTCGAAATCTGTCTTCTTGTTTCACTTTAATGTTTGCTTAAAAATTATCTTTTGTTATCTTATGCTCAACTGTTTTAGTTAAAACATTTTTATTATTTCTTTTTTCTGCATTTTTACCGCAATAAAAGCATCAATTCGAAATAAAATCGAATTATCTTGCTTCCTGATTCCTGAACAATTTCTTTTTGTTTACTGACCTTCTTCTGGCTTGTTTTATAGCTGATGTAATTGCGTTGGGCCTATTGATAAACTGAAAATCTGCAATAAGAACGTTAGTTTTACCGGTCAAAGCAAATGATTTGGGATGTAAAACCTGGAATAAACTTTATGAGGATTTTATTTATAATTCCTGTAAATTAACGATCAACAGGCCAAGCGTAATCGCATCAGCTGTAAAACAGCCAGGAAGAAGAGTAAGTGAACAAAAACAAATTGTTCAGGAGGCAAAAGAATTCGATATTATTTCGAATTGCTTTTATTGCGGTAAAAATGCAGAAAAAAGAAATAATAAAGATGTTTTAATTAAGGCAGTTGGGCACTAGGAAACAAAAGAAAATTTTTAGCAACTTTAAAGAGGAGAGAGGACAGATGGCCAAAAACTTTTTATTAGCGCGGATCCAATACATTAATTTAGTTGCAAAAAAAGCTATTTACCTACGACTATGTCAAAAACAGTGTACCTACCTATATCTTAAAACTGTTCCCCCAGTCTTTGCCGCTTTTCTTAAAATTTTTCTATTGGCATAATATTTTTTTATTTTTGATTATTAAAATGTAAGCCCTTACAAAAATTTGCTACCCCTCGCAACTCTGTACGATGGAAAAAAAACAGATTTTTCATCCCCTTGAAGAGGTGGTTTTTTTCAGAAATCGTGAGATCTTGGAAACAGTTCAACTTTACGAGCCCAAAAAATTATTTCCTTTTTTATCATAAAACAAGCTATGTTTCCTCCAAATTTCCAACTCCTACGATTTTTTTTCGCAAAAATAAGAATAAAAAACGAAAAAAACAGTTTTCCGGTTTTTCTAGGAAAGTTGGAGGTTGTGCAGATAATTGCTCATTTTTTTAATCTCTGTAACTTTTATATTGAACATTTTCGTCTAAAATTAATAGTTTTGCCACAATTTGCAAAACATCACTTTCCACCTCTTTCAACCCTAGAGATTTCACTCGCGGAAAAATTCAGCTGTTCTAATTATCTTACCCAATTTCTAATCATTTCACCTGACTGAAATAATAATAATAATAATAAAGTTTATTTGAGATTTAAAAATAAAACAAAACAAAAATACAACAACAAAAAAGAAAAAGTAGCTCAAAAAAGGAATGAATTCGGCAATGCCGTTTTTCAATTCACCCTTTAAAAACCAAAAAGAGAAAAAAATCGCCTCACAAAACTAAAAATTATTGCTTAGATAAAGTTCTTTAGTCGATTTTGCGAACTGTATATAATTCTTGTTAAGTTTATCCAACATACAATTTAACAGGGACGGTGCCATATAAGCGAAACAGCCTTGAAATTTTTTAGTATTGTGCCTTGGTATTGTGAAGGAATTAACCCTTAAATTTAAGTTATGCACGACAGACCTTCTAATTAGCAGTTGACATAAATACAGCTAGTGGTACTTTGCATTGTAACAATTTATATAAAAATAACGTGTATAGATATCTGACCCGACAATTAATTTTCAACTCGTTCAGTTTCTGGTAATACGGCGTAATATGCTCTCTAAACGGTACATTACAAATAAATCTTATGCACGAATTTTGAATTTTTTGCAATTTAGCTTGATCACTCTTTGTAAGAAAAAGATAGTACACCATACAGCAATAGTCAATATGAGGATAAATTATGGATTTAACTATCTTGTTTTTAACAGCTTCACTGAGCAGAAACTTCAAATGATAAATTGACTTGAGCTTAAGAAACGACAGTCTGACTACGTTATTTACATGTTGACTAAAACTTAACCTAGTATCTAATGTAAGACCCAAATTTTTAACACTATTAGACCATGTAATGGAATCGTTCATAAGAGTTAATTGGAAACTACACACAATGTCTGACTTTCGTTCGGGACCGACACAAATAGCTGTAGATTTCATGGGATTTAATTTTAAGCCGTTCTTTTCACACCACGTTTGCATGTTGAGAAGATCTGAGTTTATAGCATCAATAATCTCTTCCACATTCGATTCATTACATTCCATGTATAGCTGTAGATCGTCAGCATAAAGATGATATTGAAGGTGTTGAAGACATGTAGCCGAGTCGTAAGTAAACACTGAAAAAAGTAAGGGACCGAGTACACTTCCTTGCGGAACACCCCTTTCAATATTCATATAACTTGACGATGCACATGAAAGTCTAACTCTTTGAACACGATCGTTCAGATAAGCTTGAAACCATGTTAAACTGCTATTGTCGAAACCTAGATGCCGCAATTTGGCTACAAGCAACTGATGGTTTACCAAATCGAATGCTCTGCTTTGGTCGAGTAGAATTAAAATGGTACATACCTAGTGATTTATCATAACTATGCGAGATGTCAGTCATGAAAAACCCGGTTTCCCCGATAACTTTTTTTTAAAGCTATTTAGCCTGGACTACTGGTCCTTTTTACTCTTCCGCGTTTATTTGGAAGATCGTACCAATCTTATAATTATTTTAAAACAAATGCACAAGTGCAGAAAGTTGTCCAGGGGATTGAAAACGTTGTTTCAGCCTTTCTAGGTCACTGTGGATGGATTAGGGCATTTCACAAAAAAAGTACTTATATATTGTTTATTTCAAATGAGCTTTGATAATATGTTCGACAAACCATTCAGGTGTAAATTGTAAATGTAGACCGGGACACGACAAAAAGTGCAGTTTACCTTCAGATCCTAACTTATCTAGTCCTAGGCGAGTCTGAAAAGCGCGGGATAAGTGCCGAAAAAAATACGGTACGACCACACTTACATATACTTTAGATTCCTGCAGAGATTCTGTTACGGTCCCCTGGCCGGGTTTATAGAATCCAAACCATTGAGATTCTATCGGTATCACCATTCCATCCTGTTCAAATTTGACCATGACGAATTTTTCTAAGGCCTGCAGATTATCAACGTAGGTTTGGTTGATGCGCAATTCGTTATTAATATCGGCCATGAAGGTGTTTCTGTGCGCGTAATCAGTCGAGTTGAGGGCATCGTGCCAATAGGTCGCCTGCACTAAAAATTGGAAGCTCTCGTAGGCAAAGTGCGTGACTATCGGGCGAATGGCACCGCAGAATTCCAGAAAGTCGGGATTACAGAATGGAATTCCGTAAACGCCCTGCTGTTGACCACCGATCGAGATCAGGCCTTTCATTTTTGGAGTTGAGCATCTTTGACCTAATGCACGACTGCAAAAATGGGTCGATTAAATACTCGTAATTGTACGGGTGCGAACGCAGAACGGATTCTTACATAAACTGGGAACCTTGCGAAAATCCTATTCCATAGTAGCCTTGCGCTAAGTTGGGGTCGGATTGGATTAAGTTGCAGGCGTACTCGACCTGATCAGTTGGATGCATCAGGAAACCGTTGATTGTGTCCGTAATAATGTTACCTCCGATCATTAAGGACTTCACATATGTGCCCGGTATTTCATTTTCAATTAATTGTTTAACTCTGTTCATTCCAGGTCCATTGGCGTTGTCACCTACATAAATTAAGAAAATTGGGTCTTTCTCGACCAACAATAAGAGCACACTTACCCATGCCATGCCACAGAACAACAGGTATTGGCGCGGGTGTTGGGGTTGCAGAAATATTTGACAGAAGTAAAACAGCGAATATTGCCAAAGACTTCATCTCTTCTCGATGTGGCACCTCAACGATATGTAGAGCATAAAAGGAATGGTTTTTGCCTTAAATACTCCGTGAAGTGCCACTTAAAAATCATTCTGATATTTCGCACTCCAGTTAGGTGCACTCAAACTGATTTCAGCCTATCGATACACTGAGTTTTGTAGCTAACTAATTATCGATGATGAAGTAGGTTCAAGAAAAATATTTTTCTCTTATTGCTGATTTTAATAACGTTTCTAACCACAGAAAAGCTGCACTCACTTCAAATATTGCCAAATCAAAGAAATGATTCGGCAGGTGATACTAAGTGCATCGATCCTTCCAATTTGTGTGGGATGGCGCTGCTTATTGTGGACATTGCTGACATAAGTGATTTTGAATCGTCACTAATAATTTTAAGGATTAAGAAAATTTAGTACTTGTATATAGCGCATTATCTCCTTTGGCGTAACCCAAGGTTGAGAATCACATAGAAGCATTAAAATTAGAAGGTATGCAGGTCCCAAGTTATCTAAGGTTGGAGCACGATAAATCATGAACTGTGTTCTTGTCGTAACCATCAAGGTAATCGTCATAAAATTACATTTTTACTTAATATAATTGTCCTTTGAAGTCAGTAAGACTATTAACCAACTTTCTATAGCTGTAGGCCAAAGATGTGAACCAAATGTAAAGGTTTCTTTATTTTTTTTGAAGTGGTAGTAGTAGCCATCAAGAGCCATTTTTTTCACCTTCTGTTAAATTTAATGGGCAGATCAAGATGCCTGTGAATATACCCAAAAAAGCAGTGAACCTTGAGAGTTTTATTATCTTTGATTATTCGATTGTCTCTTATTTTTGTCGCAGAAGATGAAACGGGAAATACCGGTAGAAAGCTTACTCTGAAGAGTAGCGAGGTTGTCTTGAGATAAAGTAATAGAACATATAAGATATGATATCAATTCTTTCAAATGCAGATTACTTTCGTTCAGTGTCAATTTTTTTGATTCAATATCTTTTACATTTCCTTTACCTTGGAATGGGAAACCACTGCTACTACAGGCGCATGTATCTTTTGCTTTGTTGCGGGCAGCAGACACTGTGTAAGTGGTTCAATTCGTTAGGGGGGGGGGTTAGAGAGTTTTGATCACACAATATGGTTCAATTCGATTGCTGTTGGAAACTCTCTAACTAAAGATATTTTTGACTATGTCTCTGGGTCAAAAACTTACGATTACTTTCATGCCGCCAGATGTACACTGTTGCTGCTTATTTGGTCCACCTTCTATGCTAGGTCTACGTTGACCTGAACTGCTGTTTTGACCCGAAGATGTGTTAACTCGTATCCCAATTCCCAAAAGTTTAGCCTTTAATGTCCTTTTTTAAATCTGAAAATCAGAATTTGTCGGTTTGGTTTGACTGCATACGAGTAGGTAAATACGAATTCCAAAATAAATAATTGAATTGACAGACTAAAATCGATCCAATTCCATTGTCCTTTACATTTTTCTGATTAAAGATATTGGTTTGGTTTATAAAAATACAAATAATTACGGCCCCTATCTTGTGACACGTATTAGTTGCAACTTTCTCTGGTACATTTTTTTACACAAAATATTTTGACAGACGTTGCCTCTACACAGAATTTGAATTCATTCAATGGAATATATTACTTAAATGAAATATGGGTTCTCATCTAATGAAAAATAACCAAATTCCTTTGTATGCATCCACTTATATTAATTAAATGCAATACAAATCTGATTCATGCAATTAATTTCCACGGTTCCTTTAAGAATTTTATAATTATTACGTCAAATGGTTATAGGTAACCGATTTATAGTTCATACAAAGAAGATAATTAAGTAACAGGGATATCTCTGTAAACGGTGGTTTCTTTAAGTTACGATTTGTACGATCCTCTCTTGAAAAAGAAAAATTGGAAACCGGATCGCTCTCGGGATGCTACAGCGGAATTCCCACCTCGGTACAAAGTTACCTCTTGTTGAATCGGAATTTTCAAGATAATGTAACTTGCGTAACTAAGTCGTTATAAGTCAACTATTGGCGAATGGTCAGAATTGTTTAAATATAGTCGAGAATTACTGGATGATGATCGCCGTCTAGGGCGCCTTAGGATGTTCTCACTAACCGTTAGAGATAAGGCAAAAGTTATAAGAAACGAAAAGATGGTGTTTTTGAATCTTCTTCAACTTTTGTTAAAAAATATGTTTCGTATTTTCAAAGATTAAAAAGTATGGCCAAAATAGTCATTTTCAAAGATGGCGGCCGTAGCACAACATGCGCGAATGTTATATAGGATGCATTACGAATATCTTGAATTGTATTACTGGCTTCATAGTCGCAATGTAAATTTTTTGGGAAGTTTTCCTAGGAAATTGACTGAAGTTCAATTTGTCAGAATTGTCCCAGAAGTCTTCTTTCTTAGGAACCGTAAAAATCTTTTCAAAATACATCTTGCGAATCCTTTTACAAACATTTCTTGGGTCGCAGAAATCATGTAAACTTTACGTTCCTAAGAATCTTCATAGCCTTCCAGAGTTTTCATGAAAACCTTTTTTTTCGTAATTTTGTGAAGTATTATTACAAATTTTGGAATTCTTCATATGAATTTTACTAGAAGAACCGCGGAAATCTTCTTAGGAGTTTTTTTACATGACTTTTAGTTATAGGTAATAAACAAATTTTTGAATTCTTTTTAGTGATTCCCGAAACATTAACTCATTTAGGGATCCTTCCATAAATCTTCTTGAAAAATATCTTATTCTTACTGAAATATGCTTTACGAATCTTATTAAAACAGGTTTAAGGATTTCATTGGGAAATTTCTTATATGGAATTTTTTTTAAACGTTTCGCAGTTTATATAATCTACGAATTCCTTTCTGCCAAATCTTTTTAGCGCATTTTTGATTCTCAAAAAGGAGCTTATAGTTTCACTAATTGTCTGTTGTTCGGTTGTGGATAAAAATGCTCATGCACATTAGTCTTTTTACCACCCGCACGTTAGTAAGGGAGATATTGCATTGCCTGGGGTAAAAAATGGGTATGGAAGTTGCAGATGTATCTGGCTTGAAGATCAAACATCTGCAATAACATCCAATCCAGAGTCCTGCTTCAACTCAATTCTATTAGTTTGAGCCGTAAGGTTTTCAATAGTTTCTAAATCTTTTTCTTGAATTGTATTACAGTTACTTTTAGTCAAAAAACAGACGAGACTTTTGGTACGCATCTCACCAGCAGTTTTAATTTTTGTCGTCGGTGTGGTAATTACTACACACAAGCGACCATAAGTTAATTGAAAATTGGGAAATATAATTAGTGCTTGCCTACTTGCAGTACCTGTTACAGTAGATAAAAACAACAACAAAACACTCTAACGTTGTCGTTAATTGAAGTTCAATCACATACTGCAAAAATATACCTACAATCGTAGGTAGAACTAGAGAGGACCTTATGTTTAAAGTGGTTACAAGTGTAAACTACTCTAAAATGTTATCTACAATATTAGATTATTATACTCTATATAATATTTATCTAAAATTTTGTTTCTATGTAGGTAAAGCCTAACGCAGTCTAATATGATATGCATATGATGCACGTAGCACATTCGTTCGAAGTTTTTAAACTTGTAGTTGAAATGGAAACTTTCGTAGCCATAATTAACTATTATGAATTGAAATACTATTATTTTAAAATGGCGCCGCTTCCTTAAATACGGTTTTTTTAAAATTAGAAATACACCATTTTCTATTTTTTTCTAAATGCGCCATTTTATTCTGAATGCAAGGCACTTAAAATTTGCGTACCTAATTGTCATAGTTTTTAACTTTTTCTCTAAAAATTTGGAGATGCAACGATATCCATGAAAAAATTCACCGTTTAAGATAAGTGAGTGCTCTTCTTGATAACTAAATCCTTAAAGTCGAAGGAATTTTTGATCTGAACGCTGAAAGTCTTGAAAAGGTTTCTAGAGCGGTTGTGATTTTTTAAAATTAGCAATCAAAACAATTCAATTTTTTAAATTGCAACTACTATTTTGTATGCCAGAAATGAATGTAGACTTGAATTTTAGGTCCACTATTAACATTCTGTATGCATATATCCGGTAGGTAGTTTTTGAGTTATTGGCGTTTTTTTGAAAGAAATTTTCTTATTTTTTAGCCTCGAAATTCAAATTTACATTCATTTCTGGCACCAGAAATAGTAGTTGCAATTTGAAAAGCCAACGTTTTTGACATTTTTTATTGTTAATTTTGCAAAATCGCAGCGGCCCTGGAATCTTTTTGAAGACTTTCTGCGGTCACTCCAAAAATGTCTAATACTTTAAGGGTTCTACTATAAAAAAGAGCACTCATTTTTCTTGAACGCTTTAACAAATATGAATTTTTGAATGAACCCTTGCGTCCCCAAATTTTCAGACAAAAATTCACGTATGTCAAAATACAGGATGCGCAAATGCAAATTTTAAATGCGTTGAATTGAGAGTAAATTGGAGTACTTATGTAGAATAAAATAAAAAAACAAGATGGCGCTAACGTTCTGTATTTACAGAAGCACCGCCATCTTGAAATTCTTTATTTCAATTCGCAATGGTCGATTATGACTAAAAACCAAATTTCAAGTTTCTATTTCATCTGTTAAAAACCCCTAACGAACGGGCTATGTGAATCTCCCTGTATATCTATGGTTTAAAAAGGCAAACAGAGTTCGTCCATGTCATATTTAAATGATATGTTGAGTAGCTTGATGACCTTTTTTAAGGTTTTGCTCGAACATGTAAATTGATTTTTTCAAAATGAAGAAAGATGAAGTTAGCCAGATATGGTTAAATAGAGCAATAACATCCTTTTTATGTAGTGTTCACTTAAACATAGAGGAGGCGGTTTAATGATGAAAATTAATCACAAGGGCAATCTTTACTGCAAGGCTTGTATGAATTTTGTGGTAGGTAGTTAGTTCTGTTGTTCAACAATTCTTTTGATTTGTATATGTGGATCTCACCCAAAGTACATGACGTAGCTCCAATTACACCTTTATTTTTTGAATGCCAGATACCTTTCCGTTTATAAAACTGTACCTACCTTTTGCCGAAGAGTGCAGTTAATCGGAAATTTGAACAAAAAGTTCCCTGTAGTGATGGGTATTGAACAACAAAACATATCCGCCCTTTTGTCCTCGTCTTCTTGGGCTGCATTTCAGTGGAAGCTGCTATATTTGTATTGTTTCTGGTAAAAGTTATAGTAATGGCTTCTGTCCGTGTCTTCAGATACCTACTTTTTATTCGAAACCACTATTGATATGAAATTTGGTTAGACTTTCGAGTGGAAACTGCTATTGAAATGAAATCTTATTGGACAATAAAGAGAACTAAGAAAATACGCCTTCACAATCTTTTACATTGCAGAAAAAACTTGTTTTACTGTGGTTTTGTTTACGTTAAGTATGTTTTCATTTGTGGAACTATCGGAGTAGATAAATCTATAACATGTAGTAACAAACATAGAAAAGGTTGTGCAAAGTACAATAATTATCTTAAGAGTCGACAAAAATAAGTAGGTACCCTCTGTAGCTCTGGAACACCTACCTACTTTCTGCATACCTCTCGTAGACAGTTCTTCACAATGGAAGGATTATATCGTTTTCAGATAATGTATTATTAGAAGAATCTTGAAATTAATCTAAATCTAAAATTGATTTTTCCAGATCAGTACTTGAACGTAATTTTTCATGACTACAATCGTTTAAATTAAGGGTCGATAACATGGCCAACGTATCCATGTTGTCATAATCGGGCTCGTGATGGGCGGTTTCAATGTCGGATAGCAGTGGGGTTTCGGGATCTTTCTGGATCATCTCCTCGGAAAACTTGGGAAGATCGCCAATAAGAATATCTTCGTCCAGTTCGACACCGTTTTCTAGTTCCATGTCATCGTCATCGTGGTCCTGAAAAATGATTTAAGTACGTAGGCGTGAAGGGTTTCGGTGTTACCGCAGTAATTGGTGTAGTTGATTTGTACTGGAAGGCGCTATTGGAAAGGTCGACCTCGACTGGGAATAAGGGTGGGCCGCAGAGCAAGGCGAGTGTGTTGGTGTGCAGTTCGGCGAGCCCCTTCACCAGCTTGGTGAGATGCCCTCCGAGAGACTGTACGTGTTTGTTCTCCAGCAACTCCATCTTAACCAAAACGTCGGCCCTGAGTTTAGCAAATCGAGCACGCGCGACTTGGCGGCAACGCAAAATTAGCCTACAATCCCAGAGGGTTTAGTGCTGAAAATATGGGGAGAGGACTGTACCTGTACTCGTAGTTGCCAGTTTCGACTCGGTACAGCGGTTCTTGCAAGGCGGCGTAGCTGCATTCTTCATCGTCCATTTCTTTAACCTTCAAGCAGTAGGCTAAGTACTCAAATTTCGCGTCGGCGTATTTCTTCACAGTCAGTCGCGTGTCGGGTATTGCCTTGTGAAGGTAAGTCCCTAGGTCTGACAGAACAGGTTTGACCTGCTTAATCATTTCGTGCCCTAACTTTTCCATGCTGCGGTGCTGTTCGCCGAACAGTCTGAACGCCTCGCTTGCACGCGGTTGCGGTTCCCTCACCGCCAAGCTTGAGAAGATATCGCCCATGGCTTTAATGGTTTGGTGTAGCTCAAAGTGGGCCTAGAAGTATGCGTGAGATTGTCTTCAGAATATAACGCGCTCACCTGTAACACCCGTTTGGAGTGCTCAACGAGTCCTTTGTACGTAATTTCCGTGTCTTGGAGCTCTTGCATTTTCTTGACAAGGGTGTCGTTGCAGAGAATTGCTCTTGAAAGTCCTAGAGCATCGGCCGTGGATGAACTCATGTTCTCAACCAGGCGATGCTTGACTTTCTTCAAAACTATATCCAAACTTTTGCCTTGTTGCGGGTCTGCGTGGAGCTTGTTGTAGTTGACTATCACTTCATCCTAGGCATAGGTTGCAGTTAGGTGTAAGCGAAAGTGAGTTAGCGTACCACCTTAGTTGACTGGATCATCTTCGCGACTTCCACCTTTGTTTTTCCTTTGACGGATTGTCCGTTAACGGCCACCAGCTCATCTCCAGATTGTAAAGTACCATCACGGGCGGCGGCTGTGTTATCGAAAATTTGCACGATATACAAACACGGGCACAGCGGCGCTCCACCACCGATACTAATTCCGATTAGATTATTGGCGTCTTTTTGTATCGTTACACTACCCGATGTCACCGTCATTCCTCTAAAATTACAGTGTTAACACTACGTCAAACTGGCTAAGATCTACGCTAGAAGAAATAAAACTACAGGTTCGCCAAGTTTAGATCTATTGTAGGTACTATTTTATGTATGTACATGGCGGAGTCTACGTAATGTACATTGTGTCAACTAGACTAGGCAGCTAATGTGGAGGGTTTCTCTAGCGTGCTCCTGTAAAAAAGCGTTTCAGCCAAAACTAATGTAAAAAAACGAAGCATGGAAGGGGCCTAACTCACAGTGTGTTTTGTGGGAGAAACTCGTCCCGAAAACCCCACTCTTGCCCATCTTCAAATTCGAATTCTTCATCTTCTTTGTCCTCTCCAATTGGTTTCCTACACCCGCCCTTTTAATCAAGGAAACTCTTAATAATGTGTTTAACTTACTCGTCTAACAAATCTGTATTCTCTTCGCTGCTCATTTTGTTGCACCTACTTACCTTCCCTCAACCTGGAAAAGTGACACTTTCATTTAATTTAGACCGATTTTGTATACGCATCGAAAAGGAACGCCTAAAGTTAAAAATTTTAAAAATGCAATTACTTTCTGTCTTCGAAGGGCGTAAGTAAGTAATGATAGTTGTACGTCGACGTTGATGACGGATGATACCCGTAGGGTAGCATGATTCACTGGAAGAAAATAAGGGAACGTTTCGTTTAACAAGCGGAGTGAAACTGTAACCAATTTTAACAAAACGCCAACATCCCGGATGTACTTTATCGCATTGGAATATTAATTTCCTGATAAGATACGTATACAATTAGTCTATTTCGTACCTACGTTATATACAGGCAACGTGAAATGTTATAAAGTATATACCTAATTTAATGGAAAAAGTACGTACAATTTGTCCTCTTCTAAAAAATAGTCGTCATCGTATTCGAGCATTATACAGAACTCATTTAGGTGGAAGAATGGTTATGTTTGTTATTTGAAGAAACGTCGTCGCGACGCCGAATCGATCAATAAAAATTGGTTTGTGATGTCAGAGACATCTGGTGGATAATAACGACACTATAGAAACTGCCATTTATTTTTAGCGTAGAGATGACGCTGACTTACATGTTTAGCGCATTTGAAAAAAACGCGGTTATGGCTGGCTGTTCGGCTGAGATCTCAACAATTACAATACCTAGAGACTTTATATTGGCATTAAAAATTTGAATGATATAGTGTAGACGTGCAGGCTCTAGTCTATTTTGAGTTAGATGACTCGTGAGATCGATAATTTTAAACTTTGCTAATAAAATACTGATCTATATTACCAAAAATGCTGTTTTCCTTTATTACATATAGTTTTGAATATGAAACGCTCTATAATTAAAGACATTAATATTATTTTCTGACGCATAGATTTTTGTAAAATTGTGCGTTCGTTTATACCTACCTACAAGACGCACTTTTTTTTTCTAAATTTTGGAACAATTCGGCTACAAATGAGAAAATTGCTCTAAGGGAGGCATTGCACTGAGGTAAACAAGTTGTAAATCAGCATATACATGATGAAAGCGCATTTTTGGTAATACAGATAAGTATTTTATTAGCAAAGTTTAAAATTATCAATCTCGCGAGTAATCTAACTCAAAATAGACTAGAGCCTGCACATCTACACTATAGCAGAAAGTTTTTATTGTTGAAGTCTCTTAGATGTTGTAATTTGTAATTGCTGAGCTCTCAGCCGTACAGCCACACAGCCGACCATAACGAATATAATAGTGCATTTTTTTTTTCAAAAATGCTCTAAAAATGATCCGTTACTTTTTTGACGGAAGTACACGTTTTGAAGTACCAGGAATCCGAGTCAAACAAAATCTCGATGATGTCGGTCTGTCGGTCCGTCTGTACTCTCATTTCCGGCTAATCAATTGAACCGATTGGAACTAAATTTGGTACACATATTCTTATCTTAGACATAAAAGGAACAACGGAAAAGTCTTTGGGCAGATCGCGCATGCGCAGGTATGCTGGTGGTATCTGAGCTAGCTACAGCAATTTTTTTGACACGTTTTTCAATTTGATTTAATGAAATTTCAGACTTCACAAATAAGTAATGTAGGTGTATCTATTCACAAAGGAGCCCGATTAGGCAGCACTTAGGCACCTCTAAGGCCCATTGTGTCTCCCTCCTTTCTTTCGCAACTAGGTTCAGAGGCCGTTCCTCTCAATAAAGAAGAGGACCAGCGTGCACCGTACAGTAATATTGACCTTATCACTACACTGTAAAGCCAGTCGCGGGTTGAAGCCCCACGTACAACCAAAGTTATTAAGATTGTAACTTTTGTAGTACCTACACCAAATATTTTGGTTTCTTTGATTGATTTTGTATGAATAGCCTGCAAACAGCCCTCCTCTGTTCTCCTGATATTTTGATCTACACAGAGGTGCCATTTTAAACAATTTGCCATGATGCATCATGTAAATAATAATGCATTTCTATTGTTTCAGACATTTCCTCTTGCAACACATGGTAGCGTCCTAGTATGAAGTGTAAATATCTGGGATACTTAATTTGTAGTATGTCTGTTCTCCTGCTACTTTGATCAACAAAGAGGTACTATTTAAACAATTTGTGATGATGCAGTATGTAACTAATGCACTTCTAAATCTTCAGAGCGTCCCTCCTGCCACATACGGAAGCATCGTAGTATGAAATGAGGACATTTGGGATACTTTGTAGATTGCCTGTTCTCCTGCTACTTTAATGTACACCAAGGTGAGATATAAGCAACAAAATTTTGATTCAGAGAAGACCATGGACATTTTAGGCCACGTCTAATTTTGTCTTTATAACGTTGAGCAAAATAAATTATTTTTTTCGTCGGTCGTTTAATCAAACCGTTTAGGGGCGATAATAATAATAATAATAGATTTTATTGAGTTTTAACTAATATATATAAAACAAATAAAAATAAACTCTTCACGAAACCCAATAGGCTGAAGTTCAGACTATCCAACCAAATAGTTGCATTATCTGTTCTTCCACTGCACCCCCAATTAACAAATTTTTGTAATTATCATGTCAAGACGTTAAATATAATTATAAAACAAAAAAAAAGAGAAAAAAATGTTTAATTCAAAAAGATTAAAAAGAAGTTTTTACAGAGATTAAAAAAACGTAAAAATTGTGTGAATTTTTTTAACCTTTTGAAACTTTTTTAATCTTTAAACATTGAAAATGTTTATGGTTTCGTATATGCAAGCAGTAAGGAGAACAGACAACGGTTAAGGAAAAGTTTCGGATACTGTCGATACGGTACTGCGACACGCGAGCGGGTGGAGAATAAGAATTATTTGTGTCTTACATATGGCGTTATACGGTTGTCATTTCGAATGTCTCCAATGGTTGCATGGATTGTGAAATCTGTGAATTTTGTAATCTTTTTGAATCTTTTTTGAATTTTTTTGAATCACTGGAATCTTTTTAGCGTATTTTCCTCAAAGTGAAAAATCGCTATTGGCTGCACTTTCTCGTCCGTCCGTCCGTCACACCACTGAACCGATTTGGGAGATATATTTCAAAATTTGTGTGTATTTGTACACGCTTCACTATTTTTCATTCACTTCGACGATAGGCGGCTCATTTGAAAGAGAATGTGGTAAGGAGTTCGTGCCTACGTGTATCTTTTCCCGGTTCTACCATTAATACTATTAGGAGGAAAATACGCTCTCGTCATTAATGTTTGCATAATGACTTTTTAACTTGTTCAATATCAGCCGTGGTGTGCTATAGTTTTGAAAAGAGAATTTAGTATGCCGTCTGTTTAGATTAAAATATATAAGGTGTTCCATTAAAAAATATGAGGTAAAGACCTAATGAATCTGTTACTTGACCCCGTATACTTATTTTGAAACGGTAGATTATGCATACCATACCTATTTAGAAGGTGTGCCAAGTAGTGATGTGTTCACTGTGGTAAAGATTGTTTTGGTTGAAAAAGTAAGTTCTGCGCTTCTACTATCTACATTTTCTATTATACCTACTTTACAATTTTAAATTTTCTTCGATGCGTACACGAAAAGGTACAATAGGCCTTCTGAATGGTACTATAGTAATGAATTTTCCGAAGATAAGCCCAGTTTAAGTAATATAAGGAGTCGTTCCATTCGAAGAAATCTGTCAATTTATTGCCGTTGGGTACATGGCACTGACTTTTGCTCAAATTGTTGAAGAATTATAGGTTTTAGTAACAGGCAATGGATTCAATGTTATAAAGTTACGACATATTTAGCTTATAGAAAGATCTATAATTGAATTTCCCTTTAAGAAAGAAATTAATCAAAAAACACATTTTTGGGCTTTCGTGGGCGAAACATTTTGGTACTTTACAGTACAACCACTATTGACTTATTGGACTTACTTGTTTGCTTTACTAGATTAGGTACCTCAAATTCTCCGATCTAGATTTATAGGGAATTGGGAAGGACCAAATCGTAATACTTAAGGGTCGTAGATCGGTATGATGCATTATTGCAACAAGAGGGATCATATCCCAATATGATCAAAATCAAAATATTGACGGGCGATGGTTTCTTCCAACCAGACAGTGGAACATTTTTCGTTCAGTTTTTAGAGAGAATGGCGCCTCATACGATGGGAATGGTATTTTATACGCGGCAAGCTTGTTAAGTTGAAGGACGCTGGTTACTCTCTGCGTTACTCATTTACAAAGTTGGTTATTAAGATGGACGGACGATAACGGTTTACAAGTTTAGAGTACTGACGGAGGCTTCAGTGAATAAATACAGTTTAAGGAAAGTTGCGATAGTGTAAATAACATGTTTGTCAATAGGATTTTGTGTGTTCTCTCGTTCATATATGCGGTTAAAGGGGATTACGCGGTACCGTCATTGACATTGGAGGCCTTAAAAAAAGGAGGATTTCGTGTTTATATTCCCGGTAAGTAATTATGAACCTTTAATGAAAGTACTCAAGTGTGCAAATTCGTATTGGATTCGAGTTTGGTATAGTCGACTATTGCGCGATTAAACGTTGGATTTCCCATGATTTCAAAATAAATTAACATGTAGGTAATCGATAAAGAGAACATTAACTTAGGCTCTGTATTATTCAAAACAAAGGTCATGCCAACGTTTAATAAATTGCCCCAAATTACTTTCCAAGTAATTTGATGGCGTCTATTCGCCATTAACTGGCAAATCTGAATTTATTAACCTTCAAACTGGGTATCTTCTTAGAGTCGTAGACAAAAACCTGTTGGGTAATTTACTAATTGCATACAGCTTGAAAATGAAAATATTGCCGCGGCCTTGGGTTAGTAACAAGAACTTAGTAAAGATGACGCACTTTGTATGAATATTGACAAGTGTTCTTATCTACCCTTTCGACGCAGAATCATTTTGAGATAATATCTGACCCGTTACGTTGACAAGTATGTCGAAGAAATGGCGAGAACGGTCATAAAAATTCCAAAGATAAAATTTGGTAATACACGTTTTTCATGTTGCAGCACTGGGATTTCCTTTACTCCAAAATTCCCAACGAATTTCCACTTCTTAAAAATCGTCATCTCCATTACTGTGACGACCTGAGGCGGGCATTTGGTGTAGATTTTACGAGCAATTGGTATCCGTGAACTACAAACACAATCTGGCAAATTGGCTGAGAAAAAGGTACCCACTAAACTAACTACTGCTATAGTATTTAAGAAGCAGTATCATCGATTGTACCTATCAGTAATAGAATATCAGGGGTGGTAGTGATAATTAGCGATCTTCTTAGCATTATGCGCAATCCCAACATTATACAGGGCCTTTCGCGACAGCCTCAGTTAGACGTTCTTCCGACACGGTT